CTCTCTCTTTCTCTCTCTCTCTCTCTCTCTCTCTCTCTCTCTCTCTCTCTCTCTCTCACTCTCTCTCTCTCGGTGGCAGTTTCCGTCTTTGTGCGCGCTGCTGTCGGCTTGATCTACGTGCCCTGATCTGCCTTTTTACTGGTTCCGGGTTGATCCGTGTGTGGTGAGGCTTACACGTTGCTGCGTCTCCTATTGCCTGGATTCTTGCGGTCTGTTTGGTTGGACTCGATCCCACAGCTTTTGAATTATCGACAGCACCATGGCTCGTCCCTATGATCTCGTCGTCTTTGGCGCATCGGGCTTTACCGGCCAATACGTCGTCAAGTTTTTGCATACGGATGATGCCTGCCAAAGCCTGCGCGTGGCTATTGCTGGTACGCCTGGGGACTGTCCTCGTTGCCACTCTGCCGCTGTGCCCAGCTTTGGCGACTCGTCATGGCGATCCGCCCTCACCTTTCGCATCGCTTGTCACGTGCCAGGGCGCAGCCAGTCCAAGGTGCAGGCCGTCAACGAGCGTTTTGGCGCCAACTTTGATGTTTTGGTCGGCGATGTCAACGATGCCGCCTCGCTCGAGGCCATCAGTAGCCAGGCCACCATCTTGCTGAACTGTGTGGGCCCTTACCGCTTCTTCGGCGAGCAAGTTGTCAAGGTTTGTGCTCGTCGCCTTTGCCCTGTGAACCCTCCTCTTTTGGCCCAGCTTTGTTTCTGATCGTAACCCCTCCTCCATTGGAAACGAAACCATCCATTTGCACAGGCTTGCGTCAACACTGGCACCAACTACTTGGACATCTCTGGTGAACCCGAATTTATCGAGCGCATCGAGGTGGAGTACAATGAGCAAGCCAAGGCCAAGGGCATCACCATCATCAGTGCCTGCGGCTTTGACTCCATCCCCGCAGATCTGGGCACGCTCTTCACCGTATCCCAGTTTCCGGAAGGCTCTCGTCCTGCCTCAGTCGAGTCCTACCTCCAACTCCACGCTGGCGAGAAGGGCTGCGCCGTGCATTATGCCACCTACGAGAGCGCTGTCCACGGCTTTGGCAGTGCCGAAGAGCTCCGCGCCCTGCGCAAGCGCATGCCAAAGGTCAACGTGCCTGTCGTGGGCCCTCGCGGCCCCAAATCAAGCTTGCCCCGCTTTGATCAGCGCGTAAACGCCTACGCCCTGCCCTTCCCGGGCTCGGATGCCTCAATCGTCCGTCGCTCTCAGCGCTATCTCGCCCAAACTGGTGTGGCCCCCCAATTGGTAGTTTAGTTTTAGATTTGCTGCCCTGGGACTGGCACATGAAATTGCTCAATCTCCTTTTTGATTCTGGTGTCTGACAGAGTCACCCGTGTCGCCCGTTCAGTACTCGGCCTTTTTCACCATCTCCCAGCTCTTGTGGACCAGCATCTTTGTGGTGGGTCAGAGCCATCTTTGCGCTGCACCTTGCCGGGCCCGGGTTGTGTCTTCTGCCTGCCGTCCCCAATGCTCACGGTTCTCCTTGTCTTTGGAGGCAAAACGTAGGCTTGTGGCACCGTGTTTGGCCTTCTTGCCAGCTTTGAGTGGGGTCGCTCCTTTTTGTTGAAGTACCCAAAAGTCTTTTCCATGGGCGTGTACGTAACTCGGAGCAAAGGAAGGGCCTTTGCCTTCCCTCTGAGCGCCCCGATGAACGGATCATTCAACTCCTTTCTCCTTCAAGTTACCCCTTCATCTTAAAACGCTCATGGTCTATCTACTCGGCTTATGCAATTTAGCTTTTCTCACGAAGGCCCAACGGAAGAGCAGATGGCGGAGACTGCGTTCAGCATGACCTTTTTCGCCCAGGGCTATTCATCGCCTGATCTGGCTCAGGGCAAGAATAAGCCCGATGTCCACGTACGTCTGACCTATCGATGTTTGCTCAATGCACCACTCGTTGGCAACCTGGTGTTACGTCTTGGCTTGATTAGCTGCAGTCTCCATTTCTAACCTTTCCAACATGTCAATTTCAACAGGTGAGCGCGATTGTGTCTGGACCCGAGCCTGGCTATGTCACCACACCCATCTGCATTGTGACGTCGGCCCTGACGCGTAAGTTATGGATACCCTTGCTTCAATGCCAGTAACTTTGACAATGGTCATGCGCTCCGAGGCCATTTCGGCTCGTCCGACATCTGATCTGAAGCGCCTCCCCGCCTGCTTCGCATGCTGATATCCAGTTCTTCAGAACAAGGATCAGGTCCCAACTGGTGTCCTTACCACGGCTTCCGCATTCCGCAATACCGACATCATCTCTCGCCTTGATGTAAGTTTTTGCTGTCTAGATTGTTTGCAATATGCATACGCAGGTTGCACTTGGGCACGTGTCTGCTCAACCTTTTCTCATGCGAGTCTTCCACTGGCACGTCGCGTTTTGCTGGGTTGATTCCACCACGCAGAAAGCCGGCGTTCAATTCCGTCTTCAGGGCCCTGGTGCCTCAGTGTAAACGCAGCGCAAAGATTGTGCTCTTGAGATTTCGTTTTTTTTTTTTCATTCTTTCTCGACTTGATGGTTTTGAGTGGAGCCACAGCAGCGACACTGGTGTCAGCAACGTCCTAGACTGTGGCTTGATTGTTCCTCCATCGGTCGCTCTCGTCACAGTGCTGCTGCAGCTCAGCGATCGCAAGAAGAATAGCATAGAACGAATAGCATAGAACGTGTTGATGGATTCGCGTGACAAAAAAAAAAAAAAAAAAAGCATTTCAACACCACAATTTCATGCGTAATTGGCATTGAACACTTTGGTTTTGAGGGGGGACAGCACACCCGAGCATGGCGGCACAATCTCTCCCCAGTTGTTGATTCTTGTTGGTAGTCTTGTCGCCATTCTTGAATGTACACCGGCCATGTGCATGGAGTTGCTTTGATGGCGGTCTTAGTTGGGCTGCTGCTGTACACACTTGCCTTTGAGGGTCGAACGTTCTTTGGGCACTTGGGATTTGCTGGTGGCCCACGCCATGCCGATGCTGGCTTACTTGCGACGAGGCACCCGCCGGTGTTGCTGCGGCCTCGTGCTTCCTGGACTTGGGATTCTACTGACACTCTTGGCATACTTGTTCCTGCAGCTGGGAATCACGTACTATGAATCTGGTGAGTTGGCCGAAAACTGAGCGAGGAGTCACAATTTCCGTCAGCAATACCCTCGTCTCTCGCTTTTGCTGGCTGATCCGGGGGCGTGCGGTATAGATCTGGAAATTCGCGCCGAGCTGGGTGCTGAGCCTTGCTCTGCAGCATCGCAGTGGATGAAACGCGTTCACGCTACAAATGCCAGGTGCGCACCGCAATCATCTTGGTGGTGTTGGCGTTCCCTTGAGACGGGGCACCTCTTCCTTCGCTCGTCGTCTCACCTTGCCTGATGACGGCCTTGTTTGTGATTGGTGTAGCGCTTTTCGAGCCGTCGGGTCTTTCATGACTGGCTCCATCGTGATGGATACGGGTGATGAGCTACCAGACGTGAGTCCGTCAATCGAGGGATCAGTGGCTGTGCCCTGTTGGATTCATCAAACCTACAAAGACTACGGCTCCATCCCAAACCGCTGGCGCAAGAGTGCGCAGTCGTGGCAGCGCTTGCACAACCACTCAGCCTGTCGCTACGTTTTCTGGAGTGATACCCGTCTGCACCGACTCGTGGCCACGCATTATCCATCACTGTTAGCCACCTTTGAAGGGTATCCACGCGTGATCCAGCGCGTCGATGCCGCTCGTTATATGATTCTGCATCGTTATGGTGGCATTTACGTGGATCTTGACATCGTGGCTACGGCACGTCACGACCCTCTCCTGGAACGAGCTCGTGGTCGCATGCTCTTCAACCAGGGCATGACGGCGGGCGTCTCCAATGACATGATGCTGGCACCACCCGGACACCCATTTTTGGCCTTTCTGTTGGAACGCCTTAGGCCCCACGCTCGGGATTATCTTGTTCCGTACCTTACAACGCTTCTCTCGGCGGGATCTCTATTCTGCACGGCCAGCCTGGCCGCCTACAAACAAGCTTGTCATCACGCCCACCCTCTGTCATCCGGTATCGACGGCGCGTGCGCCTGGTCCGAACACTGGCCCATCGAGTACAGTCGACGCCTGACTACTGTTCAGCTAGCCCAGGAGGCCGATGCGGCGTCAGTGCTTTCGCCACCCGCGGGAGATCCAACCCCGACACCGCGAACCATGTCGACAGCCCATCGAGAACTCGTGAAGCGATTCCCCTTCATGGCCAAAGCCAAGGCTCGAGCCGAGGCCCAGGGGCCAGCGTCTCGGCCATTACCGAATTCGGCCACCTGTGCCGGCACCGTGGCAGTGGTAGACGAGTTGGGCTTTCACATTCGTCATCTGCCCGGTAACTCGTGGCATGCGTGGGACGCTCAGCTCATCTTACATGTCAACACTTATATTGAGAATCCGGCGGCACTAGGGAAATTGGTGCCCCTCCAAAAGAGCCTGGGTGGGGTCGCAGCCATCTGCCTGTGCCTCTTAACGGGGCTCATATGCCTTGTGGCTCTGGGATCGTTGCCGCTGCCTCGCTGGCCCCGAACCCGAACTTGCAGCTATCGCAAAACCCCCATCAAGCAAGCCTGACAAAACCCAATGAATGTCTTGTGACTGAATCTTCCCGCCAAAATTTAAATATGAGTATTTCCTTGTGAACAAAAACCGCAACGACAACGTCTCATTCCCATCAATGATTGTCGGCAGAGGGCGTGACTTGCTCATTCAACCAAAAACATGGCGGGGAACATGGCGGCTTGGCCTCAAGCCGCCCGAATGTATGGATGGGATCAATTTGGATCATTGCAGGCAGCTATTGAAGCGGTAGGTTCCTTCCACTTGCAACTGTGCCTTTGTGGGTGGCATGAATGGCCGTACCAGGGGTTGGCTTGTGCTCGGGTTGCGACCTTTCACGTTTCCTTGATGATGATGCTTCGTGACACGCCTTTAGGTAGCCGCCATGTTGGAAATGCCTCAAGACACATCCTTGCTGGATTCCATGCCGTCACCAAATGTCACCAGTCCTGAATTTGTTGTCACAAGTGCCATTTCCCCCAGGCCAGCTGATACCGCGGCGTCGTCACCCCGGCTTGGCCAATCACAGAGCCACCATCTTGCCTCTGCTACGATTGCCACCAGGCTCAACGGATCAGTCTCTGACGCCGAGGATGATTTGCCATTTGTGACTCGTCGCCGCCGCCCTCGATCGGGCGCGAAGCCGGCTCGTGCTGTGCTGCTCTCAGACAGCGATGGAGATGACGATGATGGCCAGGAGGGACCATTGTCGGATCAAGAGGCAATTGAGGCACAGAGCCCTGGGGCAGCATCTCCCACGCCATCCAGCGAGGGGAGTGGTGTCAGTCTGGCCGACTCGGAGCTGCGTTCGGGCGATGAGGTTTCGGATGACGATTGGGATCGTGACCTCAGTGACTTTATTGTCGATGACGACGACGGCGATGAAGATGAGAGTGAGGACGACGATGAGGAAGAAGCACAAGACTCTGATAATGTCACTGAAGATGACGCTGCGGAAGACAACGACGGAATGGGTGCGGAGGATACTGATGAGAATCTCGAAGATGGCCCAGGGTATGCTTCGCCGCCTTCAAGCGTACCATCACCGTGGAAGGGCGAGAATCTCCGAGGCATGACCCCTCGTACACCACGCCGACGCCACCGAGAAAGCGTGCAGCAAGAGCGTTCGCCACTGCGTCCATTGTGCGAGGCGCCCACGGGTCAATTTTATGAATTTGATACAGGCTCCACCTCGCGCACCCCTTGCACACCGACGACGCCAACCGTGTCCCGATCAAATGCCAAAACCAACAAGAGCAAGGTCGCTTTTCGACAGTCCCAGTCTATGTTTCGACGAAGCCGCGAGCACCTGGCTAGTCAACTCTTTCAAGAGTATAATGTTCAGGTTTTTGACCGCCAGCTTCCTCAGGACCTTGAGCTGAAATGGAGCAATCGCCTCAATACCACCGCCGGGCGAGCCGTACTGCGGTTGCAGCGGGCTACAGGTCATCGCACAGCGTCAATTGAGCTCTCCACTAAGGTGAGGCGATCCGAAGGCTTGCTTCGGCCGCCTTTAGGTGAACCAAGCTGGGCTTGAAATCAGCCATCCCGCACCCTCCTCTTTGACTCCTCGTGTGCTCACACCACCCTCGGCGCCCGCTTGCCTGGTCAACATCGCTTTTAGGTTGTAGATTCCAAGGAGAAGCTTGAAAACACCTTGTGTCACGAGTTGTGCCATGTTGCGGCCTGGCTCATCAATGGTGTTAACAAGCCTCCGCATGGCCGCGTGTTCAAGGGATGGGCTGCGCGGGCCATGCGCCGATACCGCCACCTCAATATCACGACGTGTCACAGCTATGAGATTGAATTCCGTTATCGTTATCAGTGCACGAATGCTGAGTGTGGGCATGTCTTTGGTCGTCACTCCAAGTCCATCAACGTCGATCGTCAGGTCTGCGGTCGCTGCCACAGTCGGTTAATCTTGCAGCCACAGCTCAAGGCCGATGGCACTCCCCGCAAGAAACGCGCCCCAACAGCCTTTTCCCTGTTTGTCAAAGAAAATTTTGGCGCGGTCAAACAGGCTGAGCCCGGCTTGGAGCATGCCGCCATCATGCGCACCCTGGCTGCCCAGTTCAAAGCGCAGACGCTCAACTGACGACTGCAGATGCTCAACGGGCGACGGTAGAAAGTTGTGTCAGTCTAAAATAAAATCTTATCCTTCAAATTGAAACAATGACGGTGTGAAAAATCGATAAACTATAGTTTTAAACAGTTGACGACGCGTATTTGGGAAAAAAAAAAGGGGGGGGGTTTCATTTCAACGAGCGCGAGTGAGCATCGATCGAGGTACGTCCCCTGGTCAAGTCGCTGGAAAGGCGGTTGTGGTGGCAGGGTCAAGGGCTTGACGTGTCTTGTGCGTGTCTTGTGCGTGTCTTGTGTGTGTTTTTCAATTGGGCTCGGGATTTACCTTTGGCATTTGGCTCGTTGGTGGCATCTTGGCTGATTTCTTTCGCTTGAACATCGCGTTGAGCAGCTCGTAGCTTTCGTTATCCAGGTGCCCCGGCGCCCCCGCTTTTACCCTGCAAGAAAAATTAGAAAGACTTGTTCATAGTGTTCAAGCAAGTCTTCTTCCCAAAACAAACCACATGAACGGTGCCGCGGGTACCACCAGCGCCGATGATGGTGGCAATGGTGGCGCCACCACTACCGGGTCATTGGACCCAGAGCCCGTGAATAGTGTCAAAGCCGAGGTGGCCGTTGTGCCTTCGGCTGAGGATCCTTCCCCATCGTCTCCGACTGAACCAGCTGCAGACATTGAAGCCAAGGCGGCCACAAATGGGAATGATCTTGTTGAAGAAGATGGCCCAGCAGAGCCGTTGGTGCGCGAGGTGTTGGTCGACCCAACCCCAGACTCGGAGCCTCCGGCATCTATGCCCATGATGGATATGCGTGAATACATGGTTCGTTAACATCTATCTTTCCAGTCTCTCCTGGTGCATGCGTGTTTGATTGTGTCGTCTGCTCAATAAATTGCCTCTCAACGCGTGCTTCTGACTGCCTCCCTTGGTTCTAGCTCAAAACCATCCAAGAGCGCATCACCATTTCTCTGGGCGATGCCAAGTGGGGTGAGGAGGGTCATTTTCACGCGGTGTATGAGTTCTTTACCCAGCGACAAGTTCCTGCTCTCATCATTTTCGTCGAGGACGGCGTGCTGCAAGTGACCCACCAAGTCCCAACAGAGCTTGTGGGTAGTATCAACTACTTCCTGCGGACCAATGACACCTACCTGTACCCCTGGCTCGATTTTGACGCGAACGTCCGTTGCGGCGCTCTGCATGGTGACTACTTGGCCAGTCTCTTGCGGGTCATGAGTGACATTTATGCACCACTCCTTACCACCGGTGGCTCCTGGCCCGATTCTGTGCGCAATGAATTTTCTGCTGGCCTCAACCGCTTCATGTCTGCGCTCACCGAAGCCAGCAATCGCTCTGCCGGAAAAACCGTGCTCTACATCCCCAATGAAGAGCTGTCTGATGCTGCCATCCAAGACCGAGACCTCCTTCAGCGTCTTGATTCAACCGTCATTCAATGGACTCGCCTCCTGCGACAGGTGCTCAGCAGCACGAGCGTCGAGGGCGTGGCCGCCATCGACATGCCCCTCGACGAAATTGCCTACTGGCGCCAGCGCCAAGCAGACATGAGCGGCATTCACGCTCAACTCGATCAACCAAAAGCTCAACGTATTTTGTCTCTGCTCAAGGTCCGCTTCTTTTCGTGTCTTGCTGTCGTGCCTCACCCCCGAGGGTATGGCTCGAGCATTTGTTGTTTCCCTCATTTGTTTCTACTCTCATTTTTTTTTTTAACCGTCCCTCATTTGCGCGATCATTACACGCCTTCTAGGCTGCCAACTCTTCCTACGTCTCCCAATTTGAGTCCTGGGCCTCTAAGATTGCTGAGGGCATGAGCGTGGTAAGTCTTCCCTGCCCGCGCCCGTTACCTCGGTGATCTGGGCAATGTGTGATCGATTATATGCAATTACCATCAACGTGTCGTCCCTTGCTGTTCATCCCCTGATCCTGTTCCCCCAATGACGTAGTCGGAAAGCAATTTCAAGTTTCTCTCCGTGCTGGCTGATCCTTGCACTCGTCTCAACACGCTGGGTCTCAATGCGATCCCGGAGCGCCTGCCTGAGTTGGTCGACCTCGTGCGCATGATCTGGCTGCACTCTCAGCATTACAACTCGCGCGAGCAAATCACCAGTCTCTTCCAGAAGCTGAGCAACGCCATCATTTCGCGCTGTTGTGAATGCATTGCTGTGGACGAAATCTTTGAAGGAGATGTCGATGATTCATCTCGTGTCATCCGTGATGCCATCGCTTGTTGCGAGGCCTGGAAGGCCACATATCGGCACCGCAAGAAAATTCACCTGACCTGCTCCAATCGAGGCTGGGACGTCAATCATAGCAGCTTCTTTGCTCACATTGATGCCTTCATTCAGCGCTGCCGCGATCTCCTTGAAGTGTGCGTCAGTCAAAAGCACTTTGCTCGGCGTCAGGGCGCTGGTACTCGACCACCCCCACTTCTGGCTGGCACCCGAGGTCCGGAGCTCAGCCGCAGCCTCGAGCAGCTCGAGGCCAACTTTGCCGCGAGCCTACAACAACTGCGACAGGTTCAGGATCTCGTATTCGATGTCAAGTCCAACAAGTTTCAGCACGAGTTTGTCCAGTTCAAGGCCTCGCTGAAGGAGCTGGAAGTGCTCATGCAGGGCATCATCGGCACTGCATTTGAGACAGCCACCTCAGTGGAGCAGGGTGTCGAGCTCCTGACCATCTTTGCACCTTTGCGAGCTCGAGAGACGCTGCGCCGAGCGCTGAACCGCCACACGGACAGCGTTTTTAAGCGTTTCAACGACGAGCTCGAGCATGTCAAGCAAGTCTTCTCCAAGCAGCGCGACGCGCCTCCAGTAGGACCCACGATGCCCAAGTATGCTGGTGCTTGCATGTGGGCGCTGGCGCTGCGCACCAACATCGATCAATCTCAGCAACTGCTGACTTCGCGTCAGCTGCATGCCACGTCCGATGCGGGCCACCGCGGTGACGAGGCGACCTTTAGCAACGAAGTGCTGCATAGCCATTCATTGCTCAGCAATGCACTTGCAGACTTTGCCAACAAGACCCATGCCGCTTGGGTCGCGCAACTAGGCACCGACCTCAAGGCACTGCTGGAAATCAGTCTCATGAAGCGCCGCCCTGATCGTCGACTCGCCCTCAACTTTGATCCTTCCCTCGAGCGTCTCTTTCGCGAGATCCAGTACTTTGACAAGTTGGGCATGAGCATTCCAGCACCGGCGCGGGATATTTTCCATCGATCGGAGGAGCTGCGCTGTCTACGTGACATGACCATGCTGGTGGTGCGAGACTACAACCGCATCTACGATCTTTTGGCGGACGACGAGCAGCAGCTTTTCAGCCGACGCATTCAGCTGCTTGACAACAAGGTGCACAACGGCTTGACAAAGTTAACTTGGGACAAGGCCAAGTTCATCAAGGAGTACGTGAACACGGTGCGCGCCAATGCTGCGACCGTGCGCAAGCAAGTTGACAACTACCTCGCTTCTAAGGCCTACGTGCGCGCTTTGTGCGACACGGCCGCTCAGCGATCTCTTTTCGTCTACGATGCCAAGACCATGTACGAGCCCACGGAGTTTGCGCAACAACAGGAGCGCTACGTGGCACGCGTTCTCAGCCGACTGGGCACCATTCACCAAAAGATCGTGGCAGCCTTGCGGGCTACTTACAAGGATTTTAGTGGTGACCCCAGCGCCGTGCAATCGGCCTGGAAGCTGTACGTGGCCGGCATTGATGAGCGGCTTCAAAATGCTCTGGTGACCGTGGCGCGTCGCTCTCTCAGCGAGCTTAATCGAGCTTTGCATGGTGACGGCAAGACGCTCAATGCGCCTCTTTTCAAGGTCGGCGTCCTTTTGGATGATGCATCTTCTTCGCTCCTTCTCCAGCCGAGCTTCGATTTCACCTATCGCTTGGTCAACACCGTTGCCGATCGCATCATGGCTGGTCTCGTGGTCATCCCGCGGCTGTTGGCGGCCGTGAGCCAGCGTGAGGTCAAGGATCTGCCATCCTACGAGGCTGCTGCCCGCGCCGACCGCGATGTTCGCGTGCTCTTGGACCGTATTGCGCGGGATATGGACAAGTGCCGCCCAGAGGCCGAGGCCTTTGCGCAGGGCTGGCGTGACCGTTATTACGAAATCTGGGCTACCGATAAAGCACGCTTCATTGAGCGATACATCGAGATGCAGCCTTCCCTGGCCAAGTTTGATGGCGACATTGCCCGGTATGGGGAGGTCTCTCACAACGTGCAGAAGGAGGAGACTTTCGTTATCCTACAGTTTCTGCACCTGGACACGTCGTTGCTCAAGTTTGCTCTCTTGGACCATTGCAAGGAATGGCAGACCCGATTGAGCCAGGTTCTACATGATCAAACGGTGCAGGAGTTGGCTGATCTGCACGCCTATCTCGAGGAACAGGCCCGCTTGCTGCGCCAGCGCCCCGAGGGCCTCGATGCCGTCATTGCGTCCGTCGCCCTGTACGACGAGGCTCGTAAGCGCCGTGAGTCAACTCAACAGCGCTTTGCTCCACTCAAGGAGCGATTTGAGATTCTTCACAAGTATGATGTCAGCATAAGTGCTCAGGTGGAGCAGTCTCACCTCAACCTGGCTGCCGCCTGGACCTCGTTCAACGACGCCCTCCGCGAGGGCGCTGCTCTCATCGAGGAGGCCAAATCCGAATGCAAGTCAGGCCTCTTGGCATCCTTGGACGAGCTCGCGCGCAACGCTGCCGGGTTGCGCTCCCAGTTCCTCGAGGATGGCCCGACCTCGGGATCCCTCACACCCGAACAGGCCCTCAAGGCCATTGATACCTTCAAGGCCAAGGTGGAGACGACGCGCCAGGCGGAGCAAGCCTTGAAGAATGGCCTGCAAGTCTTTGACATCACTCAAGAGCCATTTCAGGAGATCTTGGACACGGTCAAAGATTTGGGCCACCTTGAGCAGCTCTGGCGTCTGGCGGAGGAGTGGGACAACAATTTCATCTCTTGGCGAGACACACAGTTTGCTGACATTGTTACGGACGATCTCGCGCAAACTGCGACCAGCTTCAACAAACGGCTTCTCAAAATGTTGCGTGAGGTTAAGGACAAGGACTGGGAAATGACCGCCGCCTATCGCAACAAAATCGATCAATTCCGACGCACCATGCCTCTCATTGAGGATCTGAAGAATCCAGCGCTCCGTGAGCGCCACTGGAGCCGCCTTCAAGGCCACGTCGGCGAGAACTTCAGCCATACGTCAGAAGAGTTTACCCTTGGCCGCATGATCGAGCTCGGCTTTGACCGCTTCAACGAAGAAGTGGGCGACATCTCGCGGGCTGCTAGCAAGGAACTGAGCATCGAGCAAACATTGGCCGGCATCACCGAGGTGTGGGCCACGGTTGAGCTCGAGGCAGCGGCCCACAAGGAACGTGGCCACTTCATTCTCAAGGGAACGGACGACATTTACCAGCTGCTCGAAGATGATCAGATCAAGTTGGCCACCATGAAGGCCAGTCCTTTTGTCAAGGCGTTTGAGGCAGACGTGGACCGCTGGGAGAAGACCTTGGGAACGGTTTTGGAGGTGGTGGACATGTTGCTGACCGTGCAGCGTCAGTGGATCTACTTGGAGAACATCTTCCTTGGCGAGGACATTCGGCAGCAACTGCCCGAAGAAACCAAGCAATTTGACCTCATGGATGCCCAGTTTAAGGATATTGGTGTGCACCTGCACAAGGACTGCCACGCTTGTCGCGCGACCCACCGCGACGGCTTGCTCGCACAGCTTGTCGCCATGAATGGCGTACTCGAGCAAATTCAAAAGTCACTGGATGAATATCTCGAGACCAAGCGTCAAGCCTTTCCTCGCTTCTATTTTGTATCCAATGATGACCTTCTCGAGATTCTTGGGCAGTCCAAAAATCCGCCTGCCGTGCAGCCGCACTTGCTGAAATGCTTTGACAATGTCAAGAGTCTGGAGTTGCACAATGCCGTTGGGCGCAGCCAGGTTCAAGCGCTGGGCATGACCTCTGCAGATGCAGAGTACGTGCCGTTTAAGACCGCTGTTGCCCTGGATGGGCCAGTTGAGGTCTGGCTGACCTCTGTGGAGACAGAGATGCGGCACACTCTTAAGCAGCTGCTTCAGGAATGCATGGTCGCGCATCGAAAGCAAAAGCGCGACAAGTGGCTTAAGGAATGGCCCGGCCAGCTTGTTCTCACTGTGAGTCAAATGGCTTGGACATCTGAGTGCTTCAAGGCCATCTCTGACAAGAAACACGGGGCCAAAGCTGGCCTGAAAGCTATCAAGAAGAAGCAGGTCTCACTCCTCAACAAGCTGACTGAGGCTGTGCGAGCCGTCAAGAACAAGACGCAACGCAAAAAGCTTGTGGCACTCATCACCATCGAAGTGCATTCCCGCGACGTTATCGATCGCCTCTTGAAAGTGGCGAACATCGACCAAAATGCGTTTGAGTGGCTGATGCAGCTGCGGTTTTACTGGGAAAAGCCTGAAACCGGTCCCAGCGAGGGGGAGTGCATCATCCGCCAAACCAACACCCATTTCAGCTATGGGTACGAGTATTCCGGCAACAGCGGCCGCCTGGTCATTACGCCTTTGACGGACCGCTGCTACATGACCCTGACGACGGCCTTGCACTTGAAGCGCGGTGGCTCGCCCAAGGGTCCAGCTGGTACCGGCAAGACGGAGACGGTCAAGGATCTTGGCAAGTCACTGGGTGATTACGTCATTGTCATTAACTGCTCTGACGGCATGGACTACAAGTCGCTTGGCGTCATGTTCCGCGGTCTAGCACAGACTGGCGCCTGGGGTTGTTTTGATGAGTTCAACCGCATCAACATCGAAGTGCTTTCCGTCGTGGCCCAGCAGATCCTCTCCATCCTCTCGGCTCAGATTCCGCTCTCGCCAGAGAACCCGAAGACACGCTTCACGTTCGAGGGCATGGACATCAACCTGCTTTGGTCTTGCGGCATCTTCATCACCATGAACCCTGGCTATGCCGGGCGCACCGAGTTGCCAGATAACCTCAAGTCCATGTTCCGTCCAATCTCCATGATGAAGCCAGACACGCAACTTATCGCCGAGATCATCCTCTTTGGCCAGGGTTTCAACAACACGCGCGTGCTCGCCAAGAAGGCTGACACTCTGTACAAGCTTGCAGCTCAGCAGCTGTCCAAGCAAGACCACTATGACTATGGTCTTCGCGCCATGGTCTCAACTCTGTTGTATGCTGGACGCAAGCGTGAGGCGATGCCCGAAATGCCGCATGAGGAGGTGCTGCTGCTTGCCATGAAGGACATGAACGTGGCCAAGATGACGGGCGCTGACCTGCCTCTGCTCCAACACATGATGTCCGACCTCTTCCCAGGCGTGGAGACGATGGAGGTGGAGTATGGAGCCTTCCGCGAGGCCATCAAGGCGGATCTGGTCAAGCAGGGCTATCAAGCCACCCCCTGGATGATCACCAAAGCCATTCAGCTCTTTGAGACGAAAAACTCGCGCCACTCCGTCATGATTGTCGGGCGCACTGGCTCAGGCAAGAGTGTTGCTTGGCACACGCTGCAGCGTGCAATGACGCAGTGTGCACGCGACAACGTGGAGGGCTTTGTACCTGTGCGGGAGTACCCGCTCAATCCCAAGGCGCTTTCCTTGGCTGAGCTGTATGGCGAGTTCAACATTGCCACCAACGAGTGGACGGATGGCGTGCTCTCCTCGGTGATGCGCAACGTCTGCTCCGATGAGAAGCCAGATCAGAAGTGGATTGTGTTTGATGGTCCCGTTGATACGCTGTGGATTGAGAGCATGAATTCGGTCATGGACGACAACAAGATCCTGACCCTCATCAACGGTGATCGCATTTCCATGCCGGCGCAAGTTTCGCTGCTCTTTGAGGTTGAGGATCTGGCCGTTGCGTCGCCGGCAACCGTGTCACGTTGCGGCATGGTGTACCACGACACGGCTGACCTCGGCTGGCAACCCTATGTCACTTCGTGGCTCAGTAATCCGCGCTTTGAAGCCTATCGCGGCCCGCTGCAGGCCCTTTTCGAGAAGTATGTCGAACGCCTTCTTGATTTTGTTCGCCACAAATGCGAAGAACTCGTGGAAACCTCCCTCCTGAGTCGGGTGACGTCCCTGTGCAACCTGCTCGACGCCTTTTTGGTGCCCGAGAATGGCATCGACCCCGCGGACAAGGCCCACTTTGCGCGTCTTCTGGAACAGTGGTTCCTCTTTGCTTGTGTGTGGTCCCTTTGCGCGGGCGTGAACGAGGCAGGTCGCAAGTTGGTTGACAATTTCATCCGTGAGATTGAGGGTCAATTCCCAGCCAAGGACACCGTGTACGAGTACTTTGTGGACGTGAAGAATCACACTTGGGCTCATTGGGAGAAGGAGCTTTCGGCGGGGTGGAAGTACGCCCCTGATGCAAGTTATCACTCAATTCAAGTGCCCACGGTGGACACAGTGCGCTACGAGTTTCTGCTGTCCAACTTGATTGCACATCAGCGCCCGACGTTGATGGTGGGTCCAGTTGGAACGGGCAAGACTTCGGTGGTCGAGCTTGTCATGGCCAAGCTCGATGCAGCGCAGTTTAATCGCCTAACCATCAACATGTCCTCGCAAACCAGCTCAAACAACGTGCAAGAGATCATTGAGGGCCAGGTGGAGAAGCGTACCAAGGGTGTGTTTGTGCCCCTTGGGGGCAAGCAGTTGCTCACCTTCCTGGACGACCTGAACATGCCGGCCAAGGATACTTTTGGAAGCCAGCCCCCGCTTGAATTGCTGCGCCAGCTCATGGAGTACGGGTTCATGTACGACCGGCAGAAACAGGTGTTGAAACACATCAAGGACATGCGAGTCGTGGCGGCCATGGGTCCGCCCGGGGGCGGCCGCTCTGTCATCAGCCGGCGCCTTCAGAGCCGCTTTAACGTCATCAACATGACCTTTCCCAGCCGGTCGCAGATTCAACGCATCTTTGGAACCATGATCAACCAAAAGCTACAGGATTTTGATGAGGCGTGCAAGCCGGTGGGTGACATGGTGACCAATGGCACCATTGACGTTTATGAGTACATGTCTACGCGCATGCTGCCTACGCCGGCCAAAATCCACTACCTCTTCAACTTGCGCGATATTTCCAAGGTTTTCCAGGGTCTTTTGCGCGCTCACAAGGACGTACACGACACCACCGATGCGCTGTCGCGCCTGTGGGTGCACGAGTGCTTTCGCGTCTTCTGCGATCGCCTCATCAGCTCTTCGGACGTGGCTGAATTCACCAAGCTTATTGAGGACAAGCTGCACGAGCTTTTCAACATCTCCTACTCGACCCTTTGCCCCAATCGCGTGGTGCCCGTCTTTGCGGACTTTCTGAAAGCCGAAGACAATCCCGTGTACGAGGATGTGCGCGATCCCCAAGTGCTGCGACGCGTGCTGCAGGAGCGTTTGGACGAGTACAATGAATCGGGCTTTGTTCCCATGGACCTGGTTCTGTTCCGTGATGCCATTGAACACGTGTGCCGTGTCGTCCGTGTCGTGCGGTGTGAGCGTGGCAACATGCTGCTCATTGGTGTCGGTGGGTCTGGGCGGCAGTCGCTCACGCGCCTCGCCTCGTACGTGCTCGAGTTTAAGGTGTTCCAAATTGAGGTCACGCGGCAGTACCGCATCAACGAATTTCGCGAGGACCTCAAGACGCTGTATCGACAAGCCGGTCTTGAGAACAAGCCGACAGTCTTCCTCTTTACTGACACACAAATTGTCATTGAAGACTTTTTGGAGGATATCAACAACATTTTGAGTTCCGGCGAGGTTCCCAACTTGTTTGCACCGGATGAGTTGGAGGAAATTCGCAATGAGCTGGCACCGCTGGCGCGCAAGCAAGGTCTTGACGAGTCGCCGGTGGGCCTGTACAAGTATTTCATCAGCCGTGTTCGCAACAACCTGCGCGTTGTCCTGTGCATGAGCCCCGTCGGCGAGGCTTTCCGCAACCGCCTGCGCATGTACCCCGGCCTTGTCAACTGTACCACCATCGACTACTTTCATGCATGGCCCGAAGATGCCCTACTCGCCGTGGCACACCGATACATGCACGATGTGGACTTTGGCACTGGGGAGGACGGCGAGGCCGTCCGCAAGGCCGTCTCATCCACCTTTGCCGTTATTCAGCAGTCGGTCCTGAGCTCTTCGGCCCAGATGCTGGAGGAACTCAAGCGACACAACTATGTGACACCAACCAACTACCTCGAGCTCGTCATGGGCTACAAGCAGCTCCTGGCGGAGAAGCGCCGCGAGCTGGGCGATGCTGCCGACAAGCTTGCCAATGGCTTGGGCAAGATTGACGAGACAAGTGCCAAGGTAGAGCAAATGTCCATCGAGCTGGTTGAGACGAAGAAGCAAGTGGCCGAGTTTCAGCGCGAGTGTGAGGAGTACCTCGTCATCATTGTACAGCAGAAGCGCGAGGCCGACGATCAGCAGATGGCCGTGTCCCAGCGCAGCGAGAAGATTAGCGTGGAGGCCAAACAGTGTCAGAAGTTGGCTTCGGATGCGCAGGCCGACCTTGACGAGGCCCTGCCGGCTCTGGAGAGCGCTATGGAGGCACTCAACTCGCTTAATAAGGGCGACATCACGGAGATCAAGTCGTACAGCAAGCCGCCCGATCTCGTGGCCATGGTCATGGAGGCTGTCATGGTTTTGCGCAAATCCAAGCCAGACTGGGCGGAAGCCAAGCGTCAACTGGGTGACACCAATTTTATCAACCAACTGATTGAGTTTGACAAGGACAACATGTCTGAGAAGACGCTGAAAAAGGTACGCACCTACGTTGTGCGCCCAGAGTTTGATCCAGATGTGGTGGGTCGCGTTTCGAATGCGGCACGCTCGCTCTGCATGTGGGTTCGGGCCATGGATGTATATGGCCGCATCTTCAAGGTCGTGGAACCCAAGCGCCAGGCCTTGCAAGCGGCGCAAACGGCCCTCAAGGCCAAGGAAGACTCGTTGGCAGAGGCCGAGGCCAAGCTGCGCGAGGTGACGGAGAAGGTGGCCAAGCTGCAGTCTGATTACGAGAGCAAGCTTCAGACCAAGGAAGAGCTGCGCATCAAGAGTGAACAGACAGAGATCAAGCTTGAGCGTGCCGCCAAACTGGTGTCGGGCTTGGCCGGCGAGCGCTCGCGCTGGGAGCAGAGCGTTGGCGAGCTGCGACGCGGCATCAAATTCTTGGTGGGTGATTGCCTCATGTGTGCTGGCTTTCTCTCATACCTGGGTCCCTTTATCAGCGAGTACCGTGCTCGCATTGTCGAGCAGTGGCGGCGCCACATTCGGGACAACAACATCCCTTCCGATCCCGATTTCAGCATGACAACTCTGTTGGCGAAGGCAACAGACGTGCGCTTCTGGAACATTCAAGGCCTGCCGTCCGACCAATTCAGCACGGAGAACGGTGTGATTGTGACACGCGGCCGGCGCTGGCCACTGATGATTGACCCTCAGGGACAGGCCATCAAATGGATCAAAAACATGGAGCGCGACCGCAAGCTGCAGGTGGTGGACATGCAACAACCTGACTACATTCGCACGCTCGAAAACGCCATCCAGTTTGGTACGCCGGTGCTGATGCAGAATGTGGGCGAGGAGCTGGACCCATCCTTGGCCCCCGTGCTGAACAAAGCCTTTACCAAGGTGGGCGGGCGCTTGATGCTCAAGCTCGGGGATAAGGAGATTGAGTACAATCCAGACTTTCGCTTCTACTTGACGACCAAGATGAGCAACCCTCACTACACTCCCGAGATCTCGACCAAGACCACGATCGTCAACTTTGCGGTCGTCCAACAGGGCTTGGAGGCGCAGCTGCTCGGCATTGTCGTGTCCAAGGAGCGCCCGGAGCTGGAAAAGCAAAAGAATGAGCTCGTTCTGAACATTGCCGCGGGCAAGAAGAAGCTGGTGGACTTGGAAGATAAGATCCTGCAGCTTCTGAGCTCGGCCAAGGGCTCGCTTCTGGACGACGAGGAGCTGGTCAACACGCTGAACACCTCCAAGGTCACCTCGGTGGAGGTGTCGGAGCAACTTGTGGTGGCGGAAGCAACGGAGAAAGAGATTGATGCGGCACGTGAGGGTTACCGTCCGTCCGCGTCACGAGCGTCGGTGCTCTTCTTTGTGCTTGATGATGTGTCCAAGATTGACCCTATGTACCAATTTTCGCTCGATGCTTACATCAATCTGTACACGCTCAGCATCGACAACAGCGCCAAGGCGCCAGCGCTCGACCAGCGCATCGAGAGCATCAACGAGTATCACAACTATGCGGTGTACCGTTACACCTGCCGAGGTCTGTTTGAGAAGCACAAACTACTCTTTGCGCTGCACATGAATGCCAAGATCTTGGAGAGCCAGAACAAGATTGCCTTGGGCGAGTACAACTTCTTTCTACGCGGCGGTCAGGTGCTCGATCGCGACGCGCAGGTGCCCAACCCCGCGCCCGGCTGGATTACTTCAGAGGCTTGGGACAACGTGACGGAAATGGAGCGGCTGCTACCCAAGTTTGCAGGACTGACGGCTTCGTTTGAGCAGCAGCTGCGCGACTGGCAGGCGTGGTATGTGCATCCCGAACCGGAGACGGCGCCACTGCCAGGGGAATGGCAGGCCACCTGCAATGAGCTGCAGCGCATGTGCATTGTGCGGGCGCTGCGCCCGGACCGCGTGGCAATTGTTGCCATCCAGTACATTGTCAACAACCTGGGCCAGCGCTTCGTGGAGCCACCACCACTTGACATGAACGCCGTGTTGGCGGATTCCAATGCCATGACGCCACTCATCTTTGTTCTATCTGTGGGCGTGGATCCGACGAAGCAGCTGCTGGATCTTGCTGAACGCTCCGGTATGAGCGACCGCTTTCACAGCCTGTCTCTCGGTCAAGGGCAGGCACCAATTGCGGAGCGCCTCATTGCCGAGGGTGCTTCGCGTGGTGACTGGGTGTTCCTGGCGAATTGTCACCTCTCCTTGAGCTGGATGCCCTCCCTGAGTAAGCTGGTGGAGCTGCTGGAGTCACAGCAGCCGCACCCCGACTTTCGGCTGTGGCTCAGCTCCAAGCCGGACCCGCGCTTCCCGATTTCGATTTTGCAGGCGGGTATCAAGATGACAACGGAACCACCAAATGGTATCAAGGCGAACATGAAGCGGCTGTACAACACCATCAGCGAGGAGCAGTTTGAGCGCTGCAACGCTTCGTCCAAGTACAAGAAACTGATGTTTTCCCTGACCTTTTTCCACAGCATCTTGCTCGAGCGTCGCAAGTTCCAAATGCTGGGCTGGAACGTGCAATACCCCTTCAACGACTCGGACTTTGAGGTTTCGGAGAACCTGCTGGCGCTCTTCCTGGACGAGTATGAGGAGACACCGTGGGAGTCACTCAAGTACCTGATTGCGGGCATCAACTACGGTGGCCACGTGACAGATGACTGGGATCGACGCCTCTTGCTGACCTACATTAACGAGCTGTTCAGTGATCAGGTGTTGCAGGTGGAGGCGTGCCCGGTGTCGGCCAGCCCGCTCTACTTTGTGCCTCCAGATGGCCCATTGCAGTCATACAAGGATTACATCAACACGCTGCCAGGCGTGGACCCCCCCACCGCTTTTGGGCAAAATGCCAACGCGGATATCTCAAGCATGATCCGGGAAGCCCGCACGTTGCTGGGCACGCTGGTGTCCATGCAGCCAGCCGTCAGCGCCAAAGAGGGTGGTAGTCGGGAGGACAAGGTTTTGGAGCTGGCGCGGGACATGCTGGCGCGGCTACCCAAGACCATCGATTACGAGGCGACGGCCAAGCTCTTGGCGGCTGATCCGCGTCCGTTGAACATTGTGTTGCTGCAGGAGATCCAGCGATACAACCGATTGCTGGAGGCGATGCGCGTCAACCTGGTCGACCTCGATCACGGTATCCAGGGACTGGTGGTGATGAGTCACGAGCTGGAGCAGATTTTCGAGTGCATCTATCAGGGCGAGGTGCCGGTAGCTTGGAAAGCAACGTACCCGTCCCAAAAGCCGTTGGCCTCGTGGATGCGCGACTTGGTGGAGCGGATTGAATTTCTGACGCAGTGGGCAGTCACGGGTCGCCAGCCCCTTATCTTCTGGATGTCGGCCTTTAGCTTCCCGACGGGCTTTCTCACGGCTGTGCTGCAGCAAGCGGCGCGCTCCAACGGCGTGTCAATCGACACGCTCTCATGGGAGTTTTCGGTCATGACCGTCGATGACGTCAACATTGTGGAGGAGCCGAGGGACGGTGTCTACGTGCGTGGACTCTTCCTCGAGGGTGCGGGGTGGGATAAGCGCAATGCTTGCCTTGTGGAGGCGGAGGCCATGCAGCTGGTCAGCAGCATGCCCACGATCCACTTCAAACCCGTTGAGAACAAGAAGGTCGCCAAGAAAGGCAGCTATGCTTGTCCCTGCTATTACTATCCCAACCGCACGGGCGAAGGCGGTGCGTCTGCATGGTCCTTTGTCATTTCGGTGGACCTCAAGACCGGTGATCTGCCCCCTGAACACTGGGTCAAGCGTGGCACCGCACTGCTGATGAGCTTGGACAGTTAGTTGTGCTTCTTCCGCGTCGGCCCTATGACGCTTTGAGTATGGCTGTGCGTTTCTGCTCTTTCTATGGAATTAGCAAGTTGCTGTTTGTTGGACGTGTGTCGTGCCTGTGAATATAAAAATATCATGATAATTGACCTATGGTCTTCAAAGTTCTTGCGAGTCAGTCCGTCACATTCTTCACCACACACACACACACACAAACTCGGCAGAAGGCCAATCCAGCTGACCTGCAACGTGCATGCAGCAGCGGAAGATGCGCCACTCAATGCACACAAACAGCTAGCTCGCTCGACACGAAAACAGAGTTGTATGTGTAATGTACCAAGTCATTCTTGTGTGTGTTGAATATATACTGTACTGACTCCGAGGGGTTTTGGCGAGAGGCTGTGGGATGGTTCTCGTGCTGGGTTGAATCTGTTGCGACCTCACGGCTTTGCTTTTTCGCGATGAAAAAAAAAGGGGATTTCTCTTTGTGCGCAAAGGATAGATGATAGAGGAATGAGCGTGGTGAAAACCACGGGTTCCAGCAGCAGAGCTTCAAAGCTTCTGGCTGCGCTTGCAACCTATAGTTCACACATACTAGGGTAGCCGTGCGCAAACAACAAGCAGCAAAAAAAAGGAGGGAGGAAAAGAAGCTTGAATGCCTTGCGGTACACTTGCAAAAACTTGCCATCTTGCCGAACTTGCGCGTGACGGGAGAGACTCCATAATTATGTCAATCACGGCCTCTAGCGGCGCGTGGAATGAACAACCCGAGAGCAGTAGGGGGAGGAAGCACAGCAAGGGAGGCAAACAGCACGAGTCGATGTAGCAGTTGGCTTAAACTTAGCCAGGATACATTTGTCCAAAAGCGGCAGTTGAGACTGCTAGAAAGAAGTGTCGAGGAAAATTGATCAAAAGAGAAGAGAAGGATAGTGGGGGCACAAGAGGATGATGGTGTCAGATGTCACGCATGCTTGCTTGGCGACGTTCCATGTGATGCCAACCAAAAACCAGCCCATGACCGTGCGAGTGTACTGCAAACTGTGATAGAAGTTCGACGATCCCGCGCGCATGTCCTCCATTTCCAATATGACGGTTCGTATCTCTCCCTGATAAGGGTTTGCTGCCATGTTCAAAAGCAAGCATATCGAAAGTGCCGCAAGCGTGCGCGCATGCCATGGTTTGACAAAATGAGTGTTCGTGGGGAGGAACATTGCGACGTTGCCTTGATCATTCACTCCCGGAGTTCTGGTTGCTGCTGACTCAGGTGGTTTTGAGGTCCTGATCGCTCTTCTTCATAAAGCTCCATGGTCAAAATGCTGTGGACAAGCGCTGTGCAGGCTGCGCTTCCGTGTTGCGAAGGAGCAGGGGAAGGGTATATGGCGATGTGGTATTGCGTGTGGCGCACCAATTCCGTGTGTGACTTCAGTGATCTTGAACAAGCTTCACAGGGCTGACGGTCATGTGACACGACTCGACATCTGGTTGCAATGCATGTGCAAGTAGGCAATCCAAACTGATCAACGTGCTGCTCAAGCGAGAGAACTGAAAGACATACTGGTCCTGGAAGCCTGTCTTGGTGGGTGCCGTGATGATGATGTGGTGCCCAAGCTCATGGCGTTTGGTATCCAACCCGCTATGAAGACAGCCTCGCAGACGAAGTACGACAAAAACGGTCCATGGCAGTCGAGGACGCTGTGCTTACAAAATAAACGCAGGCAAGTGAAGTGCTTGTTCTTGCTCATGCCAACAGAGTACGATGCTTCAAAATGATGTGCTATGCGAGGAATCCAGAGGGAGAAGAAAAAAAGGAAAGAGAAAGAAGGCGGCGACGATGATCCAGCACGTAGCAGACAGACAGCAAGTACTGCAAAGTGTCGAGAAGAGGCGTATCGAAAGGAAGCAGAATCCCAAGACCAAGACAAGTCCAGCAACGGAAAAAAAATGCATGGCCAACTAGAAGAAGAAAGGGCAAGCTCGGGTCGAGGTGGTGGTGCAGACGAGCGGGTGTCAAGGCGCGATACAGGCGCGATACGAGCAGGCGATGCTGACACGTTCTCAGACGATCAAAATGTTCATGTTGATGATGGTACATAATCGAGTTTCCAAGTTCCGCCAATCCTCAAGCCAAAACACAAAGGTTCAACCTCGCAACGACAATGTGCAAACGATATCGGCATCATGACAGCAATTCTGGTAAGGTTGTTCCAACACTTGACGGCCAGGCAAAGTGCGATGCAGATGAACGGGCGGCACAAGTGCAAAAAAAATCTCAAACTCGAACGAAGATGTCTTTGTCTTGTTGCATTCCATGTCGCCAAAATCGCAAAAAAAGAAAAAAAAAGCTCTTGATGTGACTCTTCCTGGAAGTCGAAGAAGAAAAAAAGGGGTCGAGAAGAGAAAAAAAAGCGAAGTGGAAAGCACCACGAGTGAGTCAATCACACGCCTCTCCCCTTTGCTACTCCCCAGCATTCAGCCGACGGGGAGAAGCAAAGGGGAGAGAAGGGCGACTGCCCTCAACGACTCCCAACGTCCCCCAGCAGCAGAGCAACCAGTCACTCTACGAGTCCAAGAGGTGTAAAATGCCACTGAAACCGCCTGGCCCTCTACTTATACTTGGGCCAGCTCTCAACGGAAGCAAGCCGTTGTGTGACTGAAGCAAGCGGTCTACGTCTTGCGGTCATGCCTTGCTTCTCGTAACCTCGAGGTGGTTGTTGGGGAAAGGGGGAGGTGCGGGTGGCGTTGATCATGGTTGTGGTAGTTGATTGTGGAGTTGATGTCGAGGTGCTGCCAAGTTGGTGCATAAGGCAGTGTATGGGCAGATGAAGTTATTGTTGCTGGTACGGCACTTCTTGAAGGCAGGGTGGCGTCAGGTTGTTGTTATTGCTGCAATACAAACCCCCATCAAACGTTACATGTGCCATTCTTTGTTCTTCTTATGCGTCTTTCCTTTGGTAGCGAGTGATGACGACCGTGATGATGACACGCGACTGTCAAAAGAAACATCTGACAATACGATCTGACATCAGAAAACACCCGAACAACAGCTTGTTCGAACAAAGTGCCCTGAGTGTGTTGTTGCTCACACTTCCGCAGCCACAGGTGGTCTCTCTCTCGTGTGTTGGATCACGACCTCTGGTGGCTGGCGGGTCGACTCCACCTTTCACGCTCAACTCCATCGCTCAACTCCATGCCCATAGACGAGCGCCAGTGTAGCAGGATGGCGACCGCAATCATGACGGATAGCCTGCGGGTGGCCGGTCCCGAGCAAACTCTCCTGCCACCGACCAGCTCCCCGGTTGAACGTACCCAGGTGAAACATCAAGCGATCTTTCTGCTCCCTTGCTGTAGCCATCGCGCTTGCTCATTGAAATGTGTCGTGGTGTCCCGAACCTCAACACCTTCCAGCGGAGCCGCGAAGCCGGCGAGCCTCGGTCGCTGGCTCTGCAGACTGGCGTTGTCTCCCGTGCTGCTGGCTCATGCTTTCTCGAGATGGGCCGCACCAAGGTGATGGTGGCCTGGTAGGTCCCTCGTCGTCCGCTCTTGCCATGCTCTCCTTCAGTCTGTCCCCTTATTGCCTCGCACGCGCACCCTCCACCTCATCATCTGCCCTGACTGCTGTAGCTACGGTCCTGAAGAAGCCGCTCGTGCAGGAACATTTAGCGATATGGGTGTGCTTGAATGCCACATCACACGTGCACCCTTTGCTGAGCAAAAACGTGCGACGCTTCAGGAGGTGCGGCCTCAATCGGCTTTAGTGCTGGTTTCGAGACAACCAGCTCCTGCCTCCGACCCAATCTCCTCAGACATTCGCCTTCAATCACGTTCCGCATCCCACTTGCTTCATGGAATTAGACGGATGCGGACCGAGGGTTGCGCCGCGACCTGGATGCCATGATCAAACCCGCCATTCTATTGGAAAAATATCCAAAGTCCACCATTGCCTTGCAGGCGACTATTCTCGAGGATGACGGCGGTGGTATGTCCTGGGTCGCTCTTCGCTCTTTCCCCCTCTTGTTGCTCTGGCTCTGCCTTGGCCGCACCCCGCCGTGTCAGTGGGCTGTCTGCTCTTGCCTCACTCTTTATCGACGCTGTCCAGTCCTGCCAGCCCTTGTGATGGCCTCTAGCACTGCCTTGGTGGAGGCTGGCATTGAGCTACGGGATATCGTCACTGCCATTGCTGGTGTATGTCCTTTTGTTTGCTCTCACATCAAGAGGGCCCCCTTGTCCCCGGCGCGCACCACTCGCGACCTTGGAGAGGGTGTCCGTGGTGCCCATTCACTCACATTTATGTGGAACCATGTGCACGTACCTTGTACCCTCGAATCTTCGGGTAGGCACACGTGGGGGGGCAGCTGCGTGTTGATCCAGATCGTGCTGAACTTGAGTCGGCGGTAAGGGACCTGACATGTGCCCCTACTTCGTGTGCCAACTGGCTAGCTTCGTTGCCAGCAGTTATTCATTTTGATCAGTACCAACGATATTCGACTCTAACAAACGTGCACACATGCCAGGACGCTCGCATGGTACTGGCCCTTATGCCTTCCGTGGGCGAGGTGTGTGGCCTCCTTCATGACGGCAAGATGCAGCTCAAGGCACAAACCGCGGTATGAACTGCAAGCACCCTCTTGCTCTTGTGCCCTGGCCTTCCTTTTCACACTCCTTCTCCGATTTTGGACCGTCACAGGCCACTCACACACTTCTAGAAGCAGCGGCCAACTATGGCAGTGCTCTCCGCTCCACCTTACTTGAGCACGCGTCCGCTTGAGGGTGCATTCTGCGCGCTGTTGCGTCGTCTTCCTGAGCCATGCAGCCACTCTGTTTTCGCATTCCCACACCATCTTTTTCCACGAGAACGTGATGCCATCCTGTCACCTTGGCTCGTGTCCATGCTTTCACGTTTGGATTTTGCTTGTTCTGTTCCTGCTTCTGGAATCTGATGAGGCAAACTGTGCCATTCGCCTAAATGAACCCGCCGATTCCAGCGGTTGCCAGTCTCTTGGCTTCCGATGGGTCTTGTAATTGATTGATTCTGGCAACTCACAACGCGACAACATTCATCCTCTTCACCTGCATACCCTTGAGAAACAGCGAGGCGGGTTTCTTTGGGGCAGCGCGCCCACACCAGTGAATCAGATCATAGGCGTTAAGCTTCAATCGCTGATCCACTCGTTTCGTTGCGAAAGGCCAGCCCACTGCTGCCACAGAGTATTTGCACACACTCTGCGCTTTCGAATGGGGGCACACAGCTCAAGAGCCGCCGAGCAAGGTGATCAACTTCGCGCTCCTTGTCCGGCAAATGCACGGCAGCGCGGATCCCCATGCTCGAGCGGAGCATTTCCTGCCGACGCAGCTGCTCCAACTCACTCAAGGCCAGTCGCAACTGTTGTTTTGATCAATAGGGCAGAGCACCGAATGAGCGCAACTTGCATGTGGCGAGTGACTCGACGCGAGGGCATTGGCGCGGGGCATGTTCTTAGCTTCAAGATCAACAATCATACCTTGGGGGCCAGCTCAAGCTCTACCGTTAGTGAAATCAGTTGCATCTCCAGGTCGCTGCGCAAGTTTTGCTCTGCGTCGACATGCACCAGCCATTCACGGTCGCGATGCCGCTCGAGCTCCATCAGGCTCTGTTCACCGAATGGTTCGGCCACACCAGCCTGCTCCAGAACTGCATCTAACACATGGAAGGTCATGGGTCCTTCAAGTCAACGTTGTTCGGCTCGCCTGCACTCCCCTGACCAACAATGGGCGTGACGGCGTACCGACAAGGGCTGCCAATTCTTGCACGGCCGTGTCGAAATCCGCCTTGAGCCGGCGCAGCAAGTGCATGCCAGTGCTAGCTGCGTGGCGGGAGCGGTCGATCTACAGATCCACTCAGTGAGAGTGCACCAAAGTGCACGAATCGAGCCCGGTGGGGCTTTTGGAATGGCGCCACCGTGCCTCACCTCAGGCACTTTAGCACTGCGCTGTTGACATTGGCTGAGAACGTCGGCCACAGCTTCGATGCGCTCTCTTCGCCGACGCACAATTTGTGTCTGCGCTTCAACAACTTCAGCAGCGCTCTTCTGAGCGGTAATCACATCGGATATCTAGGCGCGATGACAAGAATTTGGAAATTTGCATCAGCGACACGTCGTGTTGAGACCACTGTGGCTTTGGGTGGGCTAACCTGCTCCGAAAGCATTTCAAGCTGGCCTTCTAAACGAGCCTCAACTTCGGATTGACCCTCAGTCTGGGCGAGTGTCATGCTCAGAGCCGCTCGTCGCTCTTGCATGCGATTCAAACGTTGTTGAATCTCTGTTGCATCGGCCCTTCGGCTTTGCAAAACACCCTCTTGCTCCTATTCCAAAAAGGCCATGTACACATCAAGGGAGCACGCAGCCTGGCCCAATGACGCGCCACCCTCTCGCACGCATCAGGGCGACTTGATACATACTCGGAGCTTGAGGCTGTGTTCATTTAGCTGTTGTGTCACTTGCTCGAGTAAACGTTGCTCTCGGCCACAGCGCGGGTGATGCCAAGTATTGCAGCGTTCGAGGTGACTGCAGCACGATTGAGTTGCGAAAGACCAAGGAACAAACCAAGTGAAACGGAGGCTGGGGCGGGCTGTGCAGCCACGCAGGTGCTGGTGGGCAAGGCTAGCCTCGGCAGGTGCTTTAAGACAAACTTTATGTAGTAAGGTTCTCCGTTTTTGTGGGTCGCGATGTCCCATCCATGTGGTAAGGCTACACAAGTCAAGTGACGAGGCGGGTCAATGGAAGTGGCGCACACGCGCGCGTATATGTGTGTGTGTGCATGCGTGCGGGGGGATGGTGTGAAGAGCAAGAGTGCACATCATACCTCGCCAGTCTACGAGTTGCGGATCACTGGGTATGCCTTGCCGGCGACCGGGTTTGATCCAGGTCGTCTGCCGTGTTGCCGCGCTGGTAAAACAGGAGGGGCATGGGCGGGGTTGGGCGGTCAGAATGGCAAGTGATTCACATGCGTTGTGCACGTTGCGTGGTCCAACGCAGGCTTACTTGGCGTAAAAGATTCTGTTCGTGCGCGAATCCACGTGACTCGTCCAGCCAGGCGCCAGGTCGCGATCGTCTGCTTCATTGTGCAGCGTGTGTATTGGAGCAGTGAACGGCTGTGGTCGGCGGGCAAGCTCACGGGTGCGAGTTGAGGGCGTGCTGGCCAGATGAGAAAGACTACGGAGGCGAGCCTCCATGCGCCGCTGATCAAAGGCCGGTTTATCTGTCTTTGTGGCCGCAGAGCTGTTGCCAGACGGGTGTGGGGTTTGGGCGGGAAAAGAAAATCGGGGTGGTGTTATCGCGGGTGTTCGGGGGCTGCCTGGGTGTGCGGGCACGATAACTTCAGAGGCACGGCGCGTGGGTGTGCGAAAGAGGGATCGGAGGCGCTCTTCGATGCCGTCGCTCGACTGGTTTTGCTTATTGGCAGCAAACCAGCCTGTGGCAGCAGTGCTGGCGTAGGAGGAGAGGCTCGCCAATGACAAGGTTTCTGCGTCGCTAGGTTCGTCAATCTCGACAAAGGAACCAGCCCCTGATGTATCAAAGGCGTCATCTCCGTCATGGCCACCGTGCAAATCGAGGTGCACACTCTCCGTACCCAATGCAGCGGCAGCAGGGGGCAAAGCCATGTGCGTGGGCTGAATAACGGTGGAACGGATAGCTGCGTCATCCTCTGGCCCGGGTTGCTCTTGTACGCTCACCGAGGATTCAGAGTGAGGATGTGGCAAGGCAGTTAGCGGTGGAATCAGTGCGTCCACAGCAAGATCGGGTTCACAATCCGGGCCTTGACCTGTGAAAGCACCTGTGTAAAAGCACAGGCAGGGGGGGGGCGGGTGTGGTTCAGTTGCAAGCAAGATGCTGTTCACCAGCAGGGGTGCAGCTCGACCGCGCCTGAGCGCGAGCAGAAAGGTAGTGCCAAAGCCAAACAAAACAAAATTCAACAAGACAGTGGGATGGGCATTTAATTCGACGCACGTTCAATGAGAGGATTGGATCGAAAGGTGATGCGAAGCGTGGGTTCTGTTGTGAGTTGGGCAACGGCGACGCTGTGCTCGATATTTCGAAAGGAAACGCCGTTGACGGAAAGGATTTCGCAGCCTATGCGCAGGCCCAAGCGTGCAGCCTCACTGCCCACGTCGACGTTGGAGATGATGATGGGCAACCCATGTTCGGCGCCACCGCGAATGCTAAACTGCAGCCCTTGCTTGGCAGGCTCGAGTGTGATGGTGCGCGGCAGCCGCGACATTCTCGGACACGCAAGCAGCCAGTTGGTGCCTGATGGTCGGTATGTGCGGCTTGAGCTGCCGCCCTTCGCGCCGAGACGATTGCCTTCAGTCCATGAAAAGACAAGCCAAGCCTTCTCAGAAGTCTAAAGAAACAGCTCAAGCAGGTTAATAACCCAAGCAGTTGCTTCTAGTCCGAGCCCGGTGTCGGCGTCAACCTCCGACCCTCGACGGGAGGCCTTTCTGGGTCTTGTTGTCGTGCCGTACGTCGCTGTGTGTGTGTGAAAACCCCCGATTGACCTGAAAATGCTGACAATGCTACCATTCGAACGCAGTTGACGAAGCCAGTGACAAACCGCCATTCTCTCCTCCTCGTGTGGGGCTCATGTCCTCGCAACCAACACGAGTGGTCTGACAAGTGCTACACTTTACTTAGGTTTGGTGTGGAGTTGACAACATGTTGTTTGCCTACCGATCTCGGAGCTCGAGCCCCTTTGCCACCCCTTGCATCCCCCCCAACTCTGGCAGCTGGCCAAGCGTCAAGCATGTCAACACGTTGTGGGTGCTATTGGCTCCATGACAATGTCATTCCTTGATCTTTTTTGTTTTTTTTGGTTTTATTTTGTTCCTTTTCTTTTGTTTCTCTCTGTCATGTATGTTCATTTCTCCCTTTTGACCCATAAGCGGGAAAAAGGCTTGGGAGGTTGGTCAAGTGCAGCGGTTGGCGGTGACCTCCTCTCCTCTCTCCTTGTCTGTGTGTGTGTGTGTGTGTCTGTGGCAAACGGCGGTCAGACGCGGGAGCTGTGGAATGATAGACTCTTGTGCACTCGTGTTGTACCTCGCGCCTTCTCCATGCTGTTTGGCTTTTGACTCAAAGGTGTTTGTGTGTTTGCAGGTGTGTTCAAACTTGCAACAGTCGGGAAAGGAGCACCATCCGGCTCCGTTTGAGACCTTGAGCTACAGCTCTGCCCAATCTCCGCCGCGCTCCTGAAGGCGAGCCGTCGGCATATTGGTTTCCAAATGCAGCAGCGTGCTGGCCTCATATCACACAAGCAAGCGTGCGCTCACCTTTAGCCACGGTCGCGTGTCTTAACGATTGAGTGGCTCAAGACCCATCACCATGCGACGGGCTGGGGTCCTGATTGGCCTGGTCTTGTTGCCCGTCTTCTTGGCCTGTGATAGCGACGACGAATGCTCAATTGGCCAGTACTGCGAGAAGCAAGCTGTCAATTCCTTTTGCAATGAATGTGCTGAAGGCTGTGCCGTCTGCTCTGACGAGGTCACCTGCGATGCTTGTATTAATTATCCGACTGCAGAACGGTATCCAACACGCGTGGGTAGCGACACGCGCTTTAGCTCCAGCAGCGTCCCGGACTGGTACTTTTTGACGACGTCTGATTCCTGCTTGAAAGATTGTCGCGAGTACCAAACTGGTGCTTACTACAATAATTGGGACAATGGCAAATGTGAGGCCCTAACTAATTGCCAAGACTTGAACAAAGTTACGATTAAGAATTCCTCCATGAGCAGCGACCGCGAGTGCGGAGATGCAAGTGATCTGGACAACGATGACGATGAAACCGGCACAAACAAGCAGGATAAATCAACAGGCGACCAGGTTTCCGATACCATCCAGGACAACCTGCTCTGGATCATCATTGCGGCTTCCATTGTCGCTTTTCTCATCATCCTCTGCTGCATTTGGCGCTGTTGTTGCCGTGATGGCTGCGACGGGTGTCGGTGTTGCGCCTGTTGCCGCCGCCGCCAGCCAAAGATTTTTGCCGCCACAAACCCGGGCCATCAGGGTACGCTTTTCCTCTCGCCCCTCATGGCACTCATCCCGTCCCACAGCATTCATTTCATCCCCGTGCGCACGTGTTTGATCGTGAAGCCTACGTTCGATTGACCGAACATTTATATTTTTTTTCTCCATAGCACCGTCTAGCGTCGTGGCCAACCCGGCCTACAACGAGCACATGATGTCGTCTCAAAGTGGGCAATATACTCATATCAGCGGCCGACGCAGCAGTACGCCCTTTCTGGCTCCAGATGATGACGCGCTAGTTGCTTGGTTGCACGTCCTGCTCGGTCGTTTCTCATTTGTTTTTCCTCTCTGACACATTCTTAGCTTTGAGCAAGGGTGACGGGTACAATCACATTGAGGGAGCGTCATCTCGTGGCTCGGGCCAGGATAACTTCATGCGCACCAACGTGGCTTACGTGGGAGTGGGCTCCGAGGCCACCGCTCCATTTCGCTCACAGCCAACTGCGAACCCCGGTTACGATGCTACCTTGCCCACCAACGCCTATTCAGAAATTGCTGCTGGCATGCCGGGCAACGCATACTCTGAAGTCGGCGGGGCACAGCAAACGGACGGCTACGTGGACATGGCAGACGCGAACCAACCCGGTCGCCAGAGTACAGGCGGCTATCTACCCATGACTGGCGCTGGCGCTGGCGCCACACAGGTTTGTTGCTGAACGAATCAGAGTGCTTCAAACGCTCGGCTTTGCTGTTGGCCTCACATGTTTCTCGCTTGCTTTCTACCTTTGCAGAGGTCCGGCAGCGCGCAAGATAATGTGGTCGATGGCGATGATTATCTCGATGTATCGGAAGACATTGACCACCACGAAGCCCCTCCGCGAAGTGTTCATTTGAATAATGCTTATTCGGGCGGTGGGCGAATCCAAGACTCGGCTTATGCACGTGCACAGAAACAGCACAGTACTTCAGGCGATCAAGGTCAAGCCTTTGGCCCAGTCGATGGCGGTCAATACTTCACCACTTCGGGTGCAGACGGTGCCGACGGGCATTATTTAGAAGCCGGTCCAGCTGGTATGCATAGCCAAGGGTCCCGTCGGGCTGGTGATGATGGCCAGTACTTTGAGACCGCCGGTGCAGTTGAATTTGGCCAGTACTTCGACACGGCAGGCACGGGTGATGACGAGGGGGGCGACTACATTGATGCCGGGCGGGACCTACGAATGGATTCGGTTTCTCAGCCCATGCTGTCCAAGACCGTCAAGGCCCAAAACGCGGGAGCCGTTGAATCGGATGGCTACTTTGACACAGCACCAGCACCGTCGGCAGGGGCTGTGGAATCGGATGGCTACTTTGATACAGCGCCGGCACCTCGGGGCCCAACTTATCAAGAAGCTAGGTCCCGGCAGGGGCCCGAGCTTGCCGACGGGTTCTACCAAGACGTTGTGCCTGGTTCACAAGAGACAGCCGGCTACTTTGATACAGCTCCGGCCCCAGCCGAGGAGTCGGATGGCTACTTTGATGCCAAGCCTGCGCCATCCGCAGGCGAGGAGTCGGATGGCTACTTTGATGCCAAGCCTGCGCCTTCCGCTGGCGAGGAGTCGGATGGCTACTTTGATGCCAAGCCTGCGCCTTCCGCTGGCGAGGAGTCGGATGGCTACTTTGATGCCAAGCCGCACCAAGCAGCAGCCGCACCGTCCTCACATTCCGGTCGCCGTGTTTCCTACAGCGCCGTGGCACCTGCCATTTTAACATCCCAGCAAATGGGCATGCCACGGCATCTGCAGGATTCTGCATACTATGACCAGTTTTAAGCGCACGTGTTTTGGGTGGGCCAAGCTGATCCATTCTTTCTCTAGGTCGCCCCACTACTGGATCAGAAGGGGGTTTTGAGTGTCTGATGTTCATACGAATGTAAAAGTTGATCGGTTACTTCTTTGGTTGAAAGATCGGCATTGCTTGCGCGACACGCACACGGGCAAATTAGTACCTATCTAGTTATCTCTAGCAGTAGTCATCCACGACTTGGCTTCCCTCAGCTCCAATCAGTCAAAACAAAAAAACAAAACACAAACACCGAAGGAGAGAGCGAGAGAGAGAGAAAAAAAATACCCTTTTTTTGTTTCGCAGTTTCTTGGTTGCAGGTCCACACGACATCATGGGCGATTTTGTGCATCCTCCAAGGTTTTACCAGGCCTACACATCGGCCAAAGGTATGCCTCGCTGGCGGGTATCCGATTCAAATGGACAGAAATGCAGTTCTCATTGCCAAACCGCTCGTTGCTCGTGAAGATGAACATGACTGGCCAAAGCCTCCCGAACCGCCGGCCGATGGCCGGGCCATTATTTTCGGACAGGTTGTCCAGGTATGATAGAGCGCGCTGGCCCTCTTTTCCATTCGCCGACCAACATGCCTGCGTGCCAATCTGCAGCACTTGCAACGCGAGCTGCTTGTCAATTTGGCTGGGTGGCCGTCCTCTGACTTGAGGTCTTTGCATGGACTGGTCACAGCTGGGTGCTTCGGCGTTGGCATCACTAGAGGAGCAGGGCATCAAGCGGCTTTACAGCGAAGATGCTACTCTCGGTTGGTCTCAACGCTCAACCCTGACTGTGCTTTTGAGGCGTGTTTTGGGTAGCTCATGGCCACTGGCTTGTCGCTGGCTCACTCGCAGATCATGCTCGTGAGCTAAGGACGCTAGTCACCACGCTGGCCAAGGCCTTTTTAGCCCTTCTTGACGAACTGCAGAGCAACGATCACGACATTGCCCGAGTGAGTGTCAGGGCCAGCCCCACGGTCACATCCTGGAATATCCCAGACCGCCCCTCCCACCAAAGCCATTCCTGGGTGAACAGGCTGTTGCGAGTCTTCTGTGCAGAGCTGTGTCGCCACCAAGGCAAATGTGCTGTGCAGACGCATTTCGCGTTCGACTAGTCATCCACTGCCTCATTCGCCTGTCAATCTTGATTGGCCTTTACTTGTACCCTTCTTTTTGCTTCTCACAGCGAAACGAGCTGCTTGACCAGCTCCGCCTGACCTTCATCAACCAGCATCATCTTCTCAACTGCTTTCGGCCTCACCAAGTGAGTGATCGATTTGATCATGATTGAATATGCCGGTGGCATTTGGGCTGGCTTTTGCAAGTTCTTCAACCCACACATGAGTTTGCTCCAGCTTGAACTTGAAGACACGGGTTATTATGAATCCTTCTCCTTTCCGAATATGAGGCTTATGCATCAACGTTCGACAGGCACAAGAGACGGTCAAGGCCATGCTTCGAGTCCAGGCCGAACAGAAGCAAGCTCTAGCAGCTGAGCTGCAACGGTGAGACCATTGCACGGTTGTTTGGCGTTTTTGAGTGCCTCCCTCGTATCGACTTGCTGGACGCGACCAATTTGAGCCGCGCCTCGCTGAAAGTGACAACCCGAGCCCACTAACTTTACCGACCTACACTTCGAGCAGGGCACTGGATCGTTTGGCAGCAAAAGCCAAAGAAATTGACGCCGCCTTGCTCAGCTTGGAGGCAGTCGAGCCTGTACCTCACACCGCTGCCCTCTTTTCCGGCCCAGACCTCCTCTTCGGTGCCTCAAGGGCGATCAATGCCTGAGTGCAAATAAAAATTTTTCCGCAACGCTACCTTATGTTATTCACCAATCTAATTTTAGCGCTCAACCTTTCATTCGCAAGAGCCATCACTATCTTGGCTCTGGACGCAATCACAGAGTCGAGCGTCCAGCGCTACGTGTGTGGTCAAGGGCCGCTGGGGCGCTTCTTGCTCTAAGCCACAAGTGATGACCGAAATTGACCCACCACATGTTTCTTTTGTTGCTTTGATTGTGCAAGCGACTGGTTTGTGCTTGCACCAATCGCCTTTTGTTTCTTTCGTTCGTTCGTTCAGTGTGTGTGTGTCTGAGTGTGTGTGTGTGTCAGTGAAGATTCGCTTCATTTTTCTCGACGGCTGGCAGTTGATCAACACCAACTTGAACTTACATCAAGGTCAGGGCTTCCATCAGTGACGCTGGATCTGGTCTTTTTTTTTTTGTGATAAATCCTTCGCGGCCGTATACACGGCACATTTGATGTACCAGAGCCTCTTTTCGACCAGCCACACAGCTCAACTCTTTGTTGTTATTTTTTTAACTTTGCGTTTCCATTTGGCAGCCGAGCTCTACCCACTACCGCCATCATGAAGATTGCCATCATTGCTGCCGCATTGGCTTTGACCATGTTGGCCTCGGCCCAGGAGAAGGTGGACTATGAGTTTACGATGCAGTTCAAGGGCTCATGCACTCAAGTTGGTGGCCCTTCAAAATTGACTTGCACCAGCAAGGCCCCATCCCAGGACTTGGCCGCCTACATTTCCCAATCGGACGCTGTCTCCTTCACGGTGACACCACTCATCGGATCTTGTAAGCTGTTCAAGCATGGTCTTTGAATGTTCCAGACGGTTCTCGTTTTTCTTGTGTGCTCACCCCAAATCACGGATCTTATGCTTTTTTTGCAGATGCCCTCATCTCATCAGACATCGTGATCAACGACGACAACACCTTCACTGAGAAGGGCAACATCTCTTTCGGAATTCACCAGTCCACCTTCCACACTCTGTTCGTTATCGATGGTTGCCACTGCTCTTGTTGCTGTTATGCTGGCTGTGGGATGGTTGCGAGGCGCATCAGAATGCGAGCTTCGCCTTACACACTGTTGTCTTTGTGCTAGGTACTTCTCGACCTTCTCGAACTCTGGCCGCATTGGCACCTATGATGAAATGGGCGACAGCATGGCGTTTACCTCCACGGCCGATATTACTGGCGGGTCTGGCAACTTTCAGGGCGCGGCCGGTATGATCAGCTACCTTGGTACGTGCCAGAGCGCCATGCTATTTTCTCAATACTCCACCACACAGGTTCAGCAGTGTCACATGCATGTGCCTTCTCATTTTTCCTGTTTTTCTCTCAGGCTACTCGACCTCAGACTTTGCTAGCTTTACTCAATACGTCAACCTCGTTTCGTCGAAGGGACTCAATACTACTGCTCACTAAATCAAGCTACAAAAGTCAAACTTGATTTGTGCGCTCCCTGAGTCATAATTTGGGCCTTTTTTTTCAAAAAAAAAGCTGCATGGCAATGGCCGCCTCTCGTTCTTCGTGCCTTCGTACAATGTCATTCGGAGCTGATGTGTTTGTTATGTGCCGTCAAGGCGTTCTTCTTCCTTCTCTCTTAAACAAGCAAGAATAAAACTGAGTTGATTCATCAAATTTTTTTCTCTCCATCTGATTCTAACTTCACCACTGAAAACACGCGAAAAAAATAAAAGGCATTGAGCAATGTCAATTGTGTGAGGCGCAGTCAAAATTCCTAGCAACTTGTTTTTCTGACGAATGGAGTTAGCAGCACGACCATGAGCGTTGGTGAGGTGCGCACAGCCTCCAAAAAACCCGAACTTGATAGGGTACTCCTTCCTGTGACGCGCCACGACGCTGCCACCACGACTGCCAAAAAGTCTGACATTTTCATTTCGTTCGCGTTCTCGAGTTACAGCTTAGTCAGAGACAACTACCCCTTACAGCTCGCATGCATAAAACAACCATAACTTGTCTCAGACATCAAGCCCAGAAAAAAAAATTTAAATGATCAGATGCGCAAAACCCAACTCTTCAAAAGTCGTTTGCAGGTGTTTTTGGCTTGTTTGGGAAAGAGACAGCTGTTTCTCGAGTCTGACAAAAACTAGTTAATAGGAATTTCGACTGCACCTCACACAATTTCACATCTTCGCTGGTGAGCACGAAGACACATGACGACGACAACCATTGCGATGTCATCTTCGTAGAGCTTGTCGACCTTGATCGGTGAAGTGACACTCACACATATCCTGATAAGGATGAGGCTCTTGCACACACACACACACACACACACACACACGCCTCGTTTGAAAAGAGCGCGTTTTTTTTTTCACACCAACAGCGTGCTTTGGGTCCTGACGTCACACACCTACCCAGAATAAAACACATCTTTCAACGTGTATTTGTTTCAGCACTTGCCGTGACGTCACCTCTGGATGACCATCTACGGGTAGCAAGAGACCAGGCAGCGCCGCCAACCACAACCCCCACCATCACCACCACCAACACAAAAAGGAAACCAAGCTTGCACCAATCCCGGGCGGGGCTTGTCAGGCTCGACGTTTTTTTTTTTTTTTTTTTTGCTGAGACATTCGAACACCCGTGCGCGCTGTGAGTCTTGCGGTCACACCCTGCTTTGAGCGCATGCGCGCCTGTGCATGTGTACAGCTGTGCAACTGGACATTCCTTGGATTGCCAAAAAGCCGATCCAAGACAGCTAGTTGACAAGGCGCAGAGGGGTGGCCTGGCCAAGGACGAGGAACCCTCGGCAAGGAAGGCACTTCAGGTGAGTCAATGAAATAGACTTGCTAGATTTTAGACCTGCTGAGCCTTGGTGCAATGGCAGCTCAGGTAACCCACCACGTATAGGTCCATACAATCTTCTATCTCAAAGAGGGCTGGCAGACGTGATCGTAATTTTTTCTCGCAACAAGCGTGTCTGTGCCATCGCACAGCCGGTGGCTGTGCGGCATTGGCACGCTTCTGCTCCTTCGTAAATTGAGCAGCGCTTGACGCTGCTCAAAGCGAGTGAGAAGATGAAGGCTTTCTTGGCCTTGGTGTTTTTGCTTGCAGTCAGCAAGGTCACAGAAGCTGCAGAAACTACTCTTTCTCTCAGGCTCTGTGAGGTGCAGAGCTGCCAGCATAACGTCACCTGCTTGCAGGTTCTGGAAGCTGAATGCTACGTTGATGGTGATGCTCAGGTAAAAGTTTCACGTGTTGTTGAGCAAGCCGAGCGAGCCGCTTTTTCAGAACCAAGGGTTGACGACAAAACTGGGAAAGCACAAGCACCAACGCATCACTCACTTCTGCGCTTGTCACAGACAACAACCTGCAAAGTTGCTGGACAAGACGATCAAGAGGAGTTTGTTTTTCAAAACACAACATGCATCACGAAACAAGTACGGCGCACCGCTCTCATAAAAGTGAATAAGTCAGTGATGTGATAGACACGACGTCACGTGATTTTATTGTTGTGATTAGATGAGCCACGGGCTCGCTACATTTAGCCTAACTAACGAGGTAAATCGCCCAAATCAGCAAAAGGTCAGTTAAGACAATGGATACGGTCAACTTGGATTTGGCACACATTCACACGAATTGTGGTTTGAGTAGGAGCGAATCAGAAGAACGTCGGATTGTACGCAATCGGTGCATGACGCGTTTTCACAAAATAGTTACAGCAACAACGACGGCAGCAAGCCCTGGGCCGCGTCCTGGGTTGAGACCGACCCGGGCAACGGCGGGGCATCCTCTGGTAACGTGTTTGTCAACAACGGCGCGCTCGTATTGACCCAGCAGTCTTACAACGGCTATACCAAGGTTACGCGGGAGGTCGATCTCAGTGGGACTCGGGGAGCACAGTTGGAGATCAAATTTTACTTGGCCGGTGAATTAGAGAGCTCAGATGAGGCATCTCTATGGATTATTAAGGATGGCTCGTACTACAAGTTGGACTCGTATACAGCATCACGTTGTGGCAAGAACACGTACAACACGAAGACGTATGATTTGTCAGCATATGCATCATCCCACACCGTCGTTAAGCTGTACATTGACAGTGGCTTCGCGGGCCCAGGCGAGTACTTTGTTATCGATTACGTCAAGATCACGTTTGATGACTGTGAGCAGTCGTGTCAAGACCTACAGTACGCCGACAACTTTGCATCTGGCGGCTATTCAGGCAACTCTGGAAGCATAGCTTTTGGTAGCAACTGGGTCGAAGCAGATGCAGGCGGAAGCGGTGCGGCAGGCGGAAACGCGCTTATCAGTGGTGGGCAACTCTATTTGAAGGGTAGTGGTAACGGATACGGTGAAACCCAGGTTTATCGCGCCATTTCTTTGGAGCACGCGTCTGCAGCAACGTTACGCGTTTCGTTCAAGTTTGTTGGTGACGTGGAGAATGTTGACGTGGCGTACATTGGCGCCATGACTGCGTCCGGTGCCATGGTGGGGGAGGAGTTTGTGGCAACAGACTATAAGAGCTTGACGGAACGCGTGTATGACCTGTCAGCACTGCTGGGTCAAAGAGACGTGTGGGTTGGTTTTGGTGTCAAAGCAAACTTACATGCATCGGATGAATATCTAATGATCGAGCAAGTCTCTGTGGAATATCAAACGTGTGCTTCAACGACGACCAACGACCACGACGACCACGACGACCACGACGACCACGACGACCACGACGACCACGACAACACCCTGCAGCGTGTCTCAAACCGTGCATGACGCATTTTCACAAAACAGTTACAGCAACAACGACGGAAGCAAGCCTTGGGCTGCGTCCTGGGTTGAGACCGATGCAGGCAATGGTGGTGCATCCTCTGGTAACGTGTTCATCTACAACGGCGCGCTCGTATTGACCCAGCAGTTCTATGGAGGCTCATACCAAGGTTACGCGGGAGGTCGATCTCAGTGGGACTCGGGGAGCACAGTTGGAGATCAAATTTTACTTGGCCGGTGAATTAGAGAGCTCAGATGAGGCATCTCTATGGATTATTAAGGATGGCTCGTACTACAAGTTGGACTCGTATACAGCATCACGTTGTGGCAAGAACACGTACAACACGAAGACGTATGATTTGTCAGCATATGCATCATCCCACACCGTCGTTAAGCTGTACATTGACAGTGGCTTCGCGGGCCCAGGCGAGTACTTTGTTATCGATTACGTCAAGATCACGTTTGATGACTGTGAGCAGTCGTGTCAAGACCTACAGTACGCCGACAACTTTGCATCTGGCGGCTATTCAGGCAACTCTGGAAGCATAGCTTTTGGTAGCAACTGGGTCGAAGCAGATGCAGGCGGAAGCGGTGCGGCAGGCGGAAACGCGCTTATCAGTGGTGGGCAACTCTATTTGAAGGGTAGTGGTAACGGATACGGTGAAACCCAGGTTTATCGCGCCATTTCTTTGGAGCACGCGTCTGCAGCAACGTTACGCGTTTCGTTCAAGTTTGTTGGTGACGTGGAGAATGTTGACGTGGCGTACATTGGCGCCATGACTGCGTCCGGTGCCATGGTGGGGGAGGAGTTTGTGGCAACAGACTATAAGAGCTTGACGGAACGCGTGTATGACCTGTCAGCACTGCTGGGTCAAAGAGACGTGTGGGTTGGTTTTGGTGTCAAAGCAAACTTACATGCATCGGATGAATATCTAATGATCGAGCAAGTCTCTGTGGAATATCAAACGTGTGCTTCAACGACGACCACGACGACCACGACGACCACGACGACCACGACGACCACGACAACACCCTGCAGCGTGTCTCAAACCGTGCATGACGCATTTTCACAAAACAGTTACAGCAACAACGACGGAAGCAAGCCTTGGGCTGCGTCCTGGGTTGAGACCGATGCAGGCAATGGTGGTGCATCCTCTGGTAACGTGTTCATCTACAACGGCGCGCTCGTATTGACCCGGCAGTTCTATGGAGGCTCAACCAAGGTTACGCGGGAGGTCGATCTCAGTGGGACTCGGGGAGCACAGTTGGAGATCAAATTTTACCTGGCCGGTGAATTAGAGAGCTCAGATGAGGCATCTCTATGGATTATTAAGGATGGCTCGCACTACAAGTTGGACTCGTATACAGCATCACGTTGTGGCAAGAACACGTACAACACGAAGACGTATGATTTGTCAGCATATGCATCATCCCACACCGTCGTGAAGCTGTACATTGACAGTGGCTTCGCGGGCCCAGGCGAGTACTTTGTTATCGATTACGTCAAGATCACGTTTGATGACTGTGAGCAGTCGTGTCAAGACCTACAGTACGCCGACAACTTTGCATCTGGCGGCTATTCAGGCAACTCTGGAAGCATAGCTTTTGGTAGCAACTGGGTCGAAGCAGATGCAGGCGGAAGCGGTGCGGCAGGCGGAAACGCGCTTATCAGTGGTGGGCAACTCTATTTGAAGGGTAGTGGTAACGGATACGGTGAAACCCAGGTTTATCGCGCCATTTCTTTGGAGCACGCGTCTGCAGCAACGTTACGCGTTTCGTTCAAGTTTGTTGGTGACGTGGAGAATGTTGACGTGGCGTACATTGGCGCCATGACTGCGTCCGGTGCCATGGTGGGGGAGGAGTTTGTGGCAACAGACTATAAGAGCTTGACGGAACGCGTGTATGACCTGTCAGCACTGCTGGGTCAAAGAGACGTGTGGGTTGGTTTTGGTGTCAAAGCAAACTTACATGCATCGGATGAATATCTAATGATCGAGCAAGTCTCTGTGGAATATCAAACGTGTGCTTCAACGACGACCACGACGACCACGACGACCACGACGACCACGACGACCACGACGACCACGACGACCACGACGACCACGACAACACCCTGCAGCGTGTCTCAAACCGTGCATGACGCATTTTCACAAAACAGTTACAGCAACAACGACGGAAGCAAGCCTTGGGCTGCGTCCTGGGTTGAGACCGATGCAGGCAATGGTGGTGCATCCTCTGGTAACGTGTTCATCTACAACGGCGCGCTCGTATTGACCCGGCAGTTCTATGGAGGCTCAACCAAGGTTACGCGGGAGGTCGATCTCAGTGGGACTCGGGGAGCACAGTTGGAGATCAAATTTTACCTGGCCGGTGAATTAGAGAGCTCAG